AAATTTATAATAATATATATATATATATATATATATATAAATATATATATATATATATATATATTCTAATAAGTTTCAATAGCATACTTAATAGAACATAAGAAAACTGAGATTTAAGAAAAAAAAAGTGTCGAATTAGTGTTTATAATTATTATATCAACTACAAAAATGTCATCCGATCAGGAGGCATTATATGAATACTTCTATTATAATTAAAAACAGAAAAAAATAATAAAATAGAGTAGGAAAATAGAAGGAAAAAACACAGATGTTAATTAATAAAGTTTTAGAATGACAGAGTGTGACCAAAATAAATATGAAGAATATTTGGTAGCAGAAGATCGAAGTGCTTCAGTTTGCAATTTCAATTAGGAAATCATCTTTGGATATTTTGTACATAAATTTTGTTTGCACTCTCTTATCTTCCACTACACTGCGTCAAGTTGATGTCTACGTCGATTGTGTAAGTGAAAATTCTTAGCAGACACGGCCCAGCAAGGGGTTCTGGTCAGTGTCAAAACTGCTACACATCAGTAGTGACACAATCCCAGCATGAGATTTGGCACATTATAACATTACAAGATTACTAATAAGAACAAAAAAAAAACTATAAGATTAACGAGGAAAGTGAAAAACATTAGAGACAGGTTTTTTAGTATATGGTTATGTAAATATTAAGAAGGAGGGTTGCATTGTTTGTTTGACTTTGTGTATGGAAATTAAAAAGAAAAGGGATGGTTGAGTTGGGGATTGCTTGGGAGTGAACATAATTTACTAAATATGTTTGGTTAGGCTTTTTCTGAAAATGGAGATTTCTTGAAGGAACAGAAAGATTTCGAAAGCAGAGGATGAACACTTTTTCCATAAGTTGAAGGAGTGTTGAATGGGAGAGATTGACACGAACAAGACAGCGTGACAGAAGAGGGGGGAAGGGGGGGCTTTTCTGACTGAGATTTGCTTCCCTTAACAAAACCAAACAAAAGCCAATTGGGTGAGAGAAAGGGAATATTATGACTCATAGAAAGAAGAAAGGAATAGTGAATAAGTTGAATGAATGAATATGATGAATAAGAAAGGATGATGAAGGAACTAATATAGCATGCTAATAGTATATAGTATAGCTTTGTGTATGGCATGAGTACAGCTAGCTTTAGCAGCACCAAAAGCTTTTCCTTTTGGTAGTTCACGCCTCCCTCTGCTCTGTAAACTGTAAAGAAACCTATCACTTCGATGGGATTGGACGTATGCATGTATCATCTGACACCACACTTTGTATCATTCTGATTTTATTCATATCATTTCTTCACCAACTCATCTATAATCAACAAATACATAACCTTCTCATGCATTAATCATCAATTTTTTTTTTCATTTAATTACTTCTCTCTTACTTGTTAGAGTTTTAGTAAAAATCAACAAAACTATAAAATGGCCTAAAACCTCAAGTTGTTTTCAGCAGTAACTTTTATAACAAAACTTGAGCAAAATCCCTAAAAACTATAAAATTATTTTCATGAAAGAGTCGTGAGTTTTCAGCAATAAATATATTATGATATAATGACTTTTTTTAAGTAAGATTTGATGCACCTTTTCCATGCTAGAGTTGTCATCTACATACATATGAAGTGTACTTCTCATTGATGGCCTTGTTTTGTCCCTTTGTGGGAATAACCTGCGTTTGAACAAGAGCAACGAGAAAAAGAAAAAGGAAATGCCGCTACTCTTTGAGATTTATGACAGAGAAATTGGTTTGGATTTGGATGAATATTGAATCAACACTCATGAACACTATTTTATATGCCCCCATGTGTTTGTCCTAGCAGGGTGTTGCGCTTTCATCAATTGCATCTGTCTCACTTTTCTGCCACTATGTCCTTCCAACCTCGGCCTTGACAAAACAACACTGAAATGATAGATGCATTCATCAGAATCACTTGCCTTTTCTTTCTCTTTCTTTCTCATCCTCCAAAAGATGCCAACACACACAGATATGCATCCACTAATTAATTAATTATGCTATCACCAAATGAACAATTCAACAACCCAAACATGTTCTTTCATCTTATATATACACTTGTCCCCACTTACCACCAATGCCACAACACAACACACCAAAACACAACACCCAATAATTTCTTTCTTCACATCATAACCACCACCAACTTCTAAATCCCACGTCTTTTGTTCCATTTCTGGTTGTGTTGCATCACACTTCTTCACTTCCAAAACCGTCTTCCCTTCTCTCCATTCTCCAACACCCCACTGAAAATGAGGAACAGAAACAACCATCCCAGGTGATTGCTATAGCTAGGAGGAGTCAGCAAACAACATGACAACAACAACAGCTTCAACAATTATCCTTCCAAAAGCCACTTTTTTCGTTTTCCCTTGTGGAAGCTACACTGCTTTCCCCTCTTAGGTTGTTCCCTAAAATCATTTCCACACCCATTTTCCTCACTATTACGCAGCAAAACAAGAAACCATGCATAACCTTTCCTTTAACATTAAAGGCAAGCCTATCTAGCATAAAAAAAAACTGCACTACACTCCTCAACATTTCCCATTTCCTCCACTCTTTTACTTTGTGTTTAACCAAGCAAACACAGATAATCTTATACATATCCATCTCGAGCCAACCGAATATATTTATATATATGGAAGGTTTTCACCCTTCTATGACGTCTCCTTTTTCGTACACATTCCCCATCAGTGGTGCTGGAAGTAGTACTACTACTAGCAATCTTACCACTGCCACTTACAGCACTTCTAGTCTATGGATGAACAGCAGAATATGGAGCAAGCTCCCTCAGAGGCTTCTCGACCGTGTCATAGCCTTCCTTCCTCCACCAGCTTTCTTTCGTGCACGTTGTGTTTGCAAGAGATGGTATGCCCTTCTCTTCTCCAACACCTTCCTTGAATTATACCTCCAAGTCTCTCCACACCGCCACTGGTTCATATTCTTCAAGCACCACAAAACTCGCAAGAGCTACATCTACAAGAACAACAACAACGGTAGTGGCTGTGGACATGGTGCAGCCTCTTCCTGTGAAGAAGGGTACCTCTTTGATCCCTCTGACATGGCATGGTATCGCATTTCCTTTGCTTTGGTTCCTTCTGGCTTCTCTCCAGCCTCTTCTTCTGCTGGTTTACTTTGTTGGGTTTCTGACGAGGCTGGTCCTAAGACCATGCTTCTGTGCAACCCTTTGGTTGGTTCTATCACTCAGTTACCTCCAACGTTGAGACCTAGACTTTTCCCTTCCATTGGCTTAACCATCAGCCCCACCTGCATAGATGTCACTGTTGCCGGGGATGACATGATATCTCCTTATGCAGTGAAGAACTTGACATCTGAAAGCTTTCACATCGATGGAGGAGGGTTTTACTCCTTGTGGGGCACTACCTCTTCTCTGCCTAGGCTTTGCAGCCTTGAATCCGGTCGAATGGTTTACGCTGAAGGAAAGTTTTACTGCATGAATTGCAGCCCTTTCAGCGTCCTGGCTTATGACATCACATCAAACAACTGGTTCAAAATACAAGCCCCAATGAGGAGGTTCCTTAGGTCTCCCAACCTCGTTGAGTGCAAGGGGAAGCTGCTTCTTGTTGCGGCTGTTGAGAAGAGCAAGCTGAACGTGCCAAAGAGTTTGAGGGTGTGGAGTTTGCAGGCTTGTGGGACGATGTGGGTGGAGTCAGAGAGAATGCCGCAGCAGCTTTATATTCAGTTTGCTGAATTAGAAGTTGGAAACGGGTTTGAATGTGTAGGGCATGGGGATTTTATTGTGATCATGATTCGTGGAACAGACAAAGCGTTGCTGTTTGATATATGCAGGAAGAGGTGGCAGTGGATTCCACCTTGTCCTTACATTGCACATGATGGCTTTGAATTGCATGGTTTTGCATATGAACCTAGACTCGCCACTCCTGTCACTGGTCTCCTTGATCAATTGGCTCTTCCCTTCCACACTTTTGGTGCTTAAATCAGAAAATCATTTTCAACTTTGTCATATATATTCTATGATTTAATCATGCCATGGTAATCAAGGAATGCATGTCGCATATTAGCTAGGAGAATGAAAAACTAATGATGTCTTAGTGATTTGGTTTGTAGAATCAATATTAACGTGTCACTACACTGGTTAATTACTTAGCTGTTACAATATTTCTGAGGTGCGGTTTGAAATCTAATCAACTAAGTTGTGAATGCAATTTTAAATTGCCTCTTTTTTGCTGTTATCAGCTTCCACATGCAGCAGCTAAAATGTCTATTATTACCTGTTATTTTCCTGCTCCCTCCAATGAACTCATTCAATAAGGTCTCATGGAGAAAGTTTAATCAGTTATGTATTATCATATATACCGATATGAACGTTTAAATTTTACCTTGTTTCCATTCATTTCTTGCTGCCTTCTATTGAGCTAAATCAATCTCGTGACCTCTGAAAATTGGACTAATATTTTGCATCCAAGAGATAAGCTATTGCTTCTTTACCAAATTATTCCACGTTTCTTCACTGATATTGATGCAATATTTACAAGAGGAATGACATATAGTATGTATACTTTTTCTATATAATTATTTGAAAGCTTTGGAGTAAGTAAAACATTTTTTAAATATTATTATTCTAAAAGACATGTCAATTACTAGATATTAAAATAAGGTTCAGAACATTATTTCCCTTTTATAATATATTTTTATAGTTTATCTTTTTATCATTATTTAAATTACTCATCTTTTTTTTTAAATTGAATTGTAAGAATTGTTTATTAGGGTTTATCCAAGTTTATTACGAATTTTAAAAATTTAGCTAAAAAAGAGTTTGATAATAAGTTAACATAATTTTGCTAAACGCATAAGAATTTAATAATTAAGTTGAGAATTTGTAAATTTTAAAAAGGGAGTAACAATTCTTATATCCCTTTGACAAATTCATAAGTTTTACAATGTAATTAACAACTAATAAATTTTAGCTTCATCGCATCGAAAGAGTGCTTCCAAATTTTGACACAAGTAAATACTACAAAGTAGTATTAAATTAAGCAATTTTTATCTGTATTTTTTAGTGTATACTAACTTCTGAACGTGTTTGGTTTCAATTGAATTACACAACTTATACTTCATATATAAAGGAACTAAATTAAAAAGTTAGGATTCGAAAAATGTGGAATCAAGGAACTCAATGTTTTATAATATCTTTGAATTAAAATCTAGATATTATATTTTATAGTATTTAAGTTATAGGCTTAGGGAGAAAGATGAATTAGTAATACAACTGTTTAGAAAATGGTCAACATAGAGATGAGTTGGAAGCCTTAGAAGACAGAAGCAATATGCAGTACTCTATCATGACTGCAGAAGCACAAGGAAACATCGATTCTAACAAGTCATTTGTTTCACTTCCTAAAGACATCACTAGAATTTTGAGATATTTATTGTATTACGTACTCATGTTGTTTGTGCTTGGTCAAATTAAACTTTATACAGCTAGTGAATTCTTATGATATATTTAGTAAGCTACTAAGGTGAGTTCTCTTGGAAAGTTTTGAGAAATATCGTCATTTCTTTCTTTCAGTTTTGTAAATAAAGGTTGTACATATTTTATATATTTCTTGCTAATAAAAAAATGAGTTCAAAATCAGATAAAAAAAAAAGAAAAAAAGAACAAGAGAAGAACAAAGTGAGTGTGCGTATTACTGATACACAGTACATATATATAAGACATCGAATCATGTGTAGAAAACTGTTGGACATATATTTTGGTTTGACCATCTGCAAAATGGTTGAATTGCAAACTATCAAACTTCAGAATTCTCAAAACTACATGTGTGTAATGGCCATATATATATATATATATTCACCAAGCATGCAAGAGTTGAACCAATGAAATTTAGGAGCTTCCGAAAAAATCTTCAAAGAAAGATGGTTTGAGCCCTTCTAGCTATTAATTTGTACCAGTTGATAATTCTGAACTTAATAAGGTTGTTGTGTTTGAGTTTAGCTTAATACTGCATGCTACAGTATCATTGGTCTATGATCTCTGCACAACACCCCAAATCTCTAATGAACTATGATGGCTTGGTATAAAAGAAAACTTTTGTTTTAGAAGAAGGTGCGATCTACTGTTCACGATTGCGTGTTAATGATTTTTCCCCTAGTATTGGTATTGTGGCTAATTTGGGAAGGTCAAATGGATATAGCAGTAAGAAACTTACATTTTTGCTTATATGATTCCCACGTCTCTAATTGAAATTCATGGTTTTTTTAAAGTGGATTCACTTGTACACAACTCTTTTTCTTTCCTTTTTAATTCTAGCACCTCTCATGAGTATTCTTACTCCAATGTAACATCTCTTTTCAAGTTCTTAAATAAATTTCTTTATTTTCGGTTAAAAAATCGCATTTTTATATTTTATCAATAATTTATTTATTAAGTTAAAGTTATTTAATTTTCAGAATAGATAAAATATTAAAAAAATAAGAGATTTATTCATATTTTTCAAAATATTTTTAATAATAATAAAAGTATATATTTAACTATGTTAAATTTTATTTAAAAACAATGAAAACAAACATAATTACACAATTAGATCAATGCAAAATTCTAAAGTTAATAAATATTTACACAATTTAAAATAATTAATTCGGTAATAGTTCATCACTACAAAAATATTTTTTCTGTCATATGACAAAAATGTTGTTACAAAAAGTGTAAGTTCAGTAATATTTTTTTTTTTTGTAACAAGTTTGTGTCTTTTTTAAACTGTGTATCAATCATAAAAATTATGTTAGTGAGAAATCTTTGTATCATCAAATGTTCATCTTTAAAATTGTGCATCACAAACTATATTACAAAAGGTATTAAAAGAATGAGTGATGATTTTTGTTTCTCACAGCTAGTGTGTCACATAAGTGATCATAATAAAACATATTGGATATATATTAACAATGTTTAAAATTTGAGATATAGAGAAAATTCAAATGGTTACAAACCCATGACATATAATTTAAGAGGACATATAAACATAAAATTCCTTAAGGCTTTTCAAATGCTCTTATAGAGTTGGTGTGGTGTTGGTGCTTGGATTTGATGCAATAAGACAATAATTACAATAGAAATGGAGTAATTAGGATTGACAAAATAGAGCAAAATTAATGCCTCTAATAGAAATTCTTAAATGGTTCATTGCACACAAAGTGAATTCTTGGTTCAAAGCATTTTAAGAGATTGATACAGAGAGATTCTTGTGTAATATTTACTTTTAATTTTCATTTCACTAATGAAGCAACTAACTTATTTGTTTAATTTTAGAAATAAAAGATAAACTTCATTCCAACATGTTGATATCTTTTTCAAAAGACTCATATTACAACTAAAAATGACTCTAAGTTCACAAAATTATTGAGTTGGATAATGGTTTTACCACTTCAAGCTTTTAATACAGTAATTCATGTGAACAATTAATATTGAATCTCACTTTGATTATTTTTTTCTTTCAGGATGGTTATGAAAAACTTAAGGCTCACTGAGATTCCCCCAAGTCACATTGAAAGATGGTGTGTCCAGTCATCCATTTGATGATGTCATATTATGCAATCTTGTAAGAGGATTGAACAAAAGAGAAAGACTTTATATATGGCCTAGGATCAACAAAGTGAAAAATTCATAAAACCTTCAACTTCTTCAAATGTCATCACATAAGGAGAATTTCAGTAAATGAGACATCTTATATCTAACTTATTTACATAAAAGGACATGATAATTTCTCGAACATGAGCTACATATGTTTTACTAGTGCAAAAAAACTTCCGATGTCGGTGTTTTTCGGTCTTTAACGTCCAAGCATAAGCCAACAACATATCGAAAGACATTAATTTGACATCAGAAAATATCATCGACGTTTTTCGATGTTGGAAAACTATGCACACCAACATCCTATGACGTCCATCGCAATCCTCTTGACACTTAGTGGAGATCCAAAGGATGGTTTTTGTAGAATGGAAAGGGGATATTTGATATCTGAAAATGGGATCACCAACGTCAATATCGTTGAGTCACACCTTCTCGTTCAGATAAAATTTCCCCCTCGAGTGGGCATTATAAGGGATTTGATATCGTAATATGCACTTTCTGATGTTAAATTGACGTTGAAAATGGCAACGCGTGATGTCAATCAACATCTATTAACATCGAGTAGTGCAACGCCCGATGTCTTTTTAGTATATTTTTTTTATAAAAGCTTCGTTTTTTCAATATTACCACACCTGAAAATTAGAAAATCAATTTTTGCATTTGATATATCCAGAAATTATCTATTCACAATTCAAACTACAACTAAAGCTATGACAAATAAAACTAAAAACTAAAACTATCAATATCAAAACAAAAAGAATTGAAAGTAAATTATTTTAGCCTAACTCCATCTCTTCCAAAGATATGATGCTCAATCTTGTCTTAGCTTCCTAATTGTGGCATCTGTTAATGCGGAATGATTGTTGAACCGCTATAAAAACAAGAAAACTTGACTATTATTTTCATTATAATGTTCAAAGTTGAATGTGATTTGTAAGATTTTAAAGTTAAATTATTACCTCAGTCCAATCATCTCTAATTCTTGCTCGGATGATAGTCTTTATCCATGACATTATGTAGTGTCTGCATGCCTAGGAATATGTTTGTTTGTTACATTAAACATGGCAAAGAAAATAGTCAAATATGATGGTCTAAATTTCACATACGAAAACTAATAAGTTAAAGATCAATGAAGGCTAACCTTTGGATAAATTATTTCAATTTGTTGTGCTCTTGGCCTAGCCACAACTCTAAACTAATTTAAATCATTTGAAACATAAGTTAATATATTAATATCAGAATGAATTGATATGAAATAATTTAATACTTATGTTTGTAACAAGGATTTCAAGTAAGAATCCATCTTCCTATGTAAGGAACAAAACCAAACAACTTGACTTGTCTTGGTATGATCACCATCACTTGTCAATGGCTCCTATCATGAATAAAAAATAGTGAGTCAATTAATTAAATGTTGATAAAAGTGTACAATATTGAGTAACACATATCCATCAATATATGATGCGATATATAACTCTCTTTTAGACTCAACCATTCATGTTTATATATATGTTTGCTTGTTTTCTACTATGTTTCTAGATGGTTGAATGTCCTGGATTTAAGAA